TTGGGGTGGAGACCAAACCTTTGGGGTTTGCTATTCTTCTGACAATACTACAGAGTTTCAGCTTAATCTGTCCACATGGAGTCTGTCTAGCTGTCCTCCTTCCTCAATACAGAAGGCTGCGTGGTGGGTGGGGAAAGGCCCTGCATTTGGTGGCAGTGGTGTGGTCAGGGGTGTGACGGAGGAAGACCCTAGGCCTCATGGGAAAATGAAAGTAGACAGAGTCTTGTCCGTGGCAGGAAGTCAGCTCCCAGGTGCAGAGGTGTCCTGAAACCTGGAACTGTGCCATGTGCTATGTGCAGAACTAAGGGGCCTGAGGGTCAGCTCTTGGGAGCAAAGGGCTGCCTGTGTCTTAGTCAGCTTGGGCTCCTGTAACAAAATGCCACGGACTGGGTGGCTGTTTCTGGAAAAGTGTCTTAGTCAGCTTGGGCTCCTGTAACAAAATGCCATGGACTGGAAATAAAATGCAGTTTCTGGAAAGGCACCTGTAAATGATAAAATGCTCGCACGTGACCTTTATCGTGTCTAACCCCAAAGGGCCAAGAAGAAACGGGCCTCGGGATCTGGGTCACTCAGAAAGAATCAGTTGGAGGCAGACAGATATTCGACCCCTGACTCTAGTCTATTAAATAGGCATAAAACACCCACCCGATGCCCTTACTGCAGGGATTAAGTGAAATAATGTGCGTAAAGCACTCTACACAGGGCCTGGACTATAGAAAGTTCTCAATAGAGGGTTTAGGGGTGGTGGGGAGGCAGGAAATAGTGCAGGGAAGGGAAAAAATTCCCCTCTGCCTGTCGTACGTTCTCAGCTGGCGCCCTGTAAACCAGCCTGGCAAAAGGCAGACCACCAAGAAAAACAAACAGAAGTTCATTCACGCGTGCACCTACGCAGGGGCACACCCAGTGACGAGCAACCACTGTAGAATTTGAGCTCATACAGAAAGGGGTTTGGGGCTCCTAGGCCAGGGGAGGTGAGTTATGGGACGGTGTCAGGGAGAGAATGGTAGCAGGTTGTTTAGTGAGGCTTAGCATGCTGACCCAAGTCAGTGCCTTCTGAGTTAGTAGGAGTTGTTGGGAGTCCTTTTCTTCCGGGCAGGGAGAGGGACATACTCTTCTCAAACAGAAATGTCCTTTACACAAGGGAAACGCATGCCCTGGTTTCAGAATTTTCCCTGCATCCGCTGGTTCTCCAGGGTCTTAGCTCAAAATAATTCCGATGAAAAGAGGCATCTTCTGGGGTGGCATATCCTCGTAGGCTTTTCCGTAGTCAGCACATGTCCACACCAGAGCTCTCAGGTGGTTCCTGCTTCCAAGGAGCGACCTGCTGGGCCTCCGCACCGCACCGCCAGGAAAGAAGA